TTACATTAGCTTTTCATATCTATCTATCTATCTATCTATCTATCTATCTATCTATCTATGAGTTTGAAATAGACGGGATGATTATTCTTTGCCGAAGAGAAATCCACGCGAATTTATCTTTATTGCGGCTTTTATTAAATATTCCGAAAATTTCCTTACAACCCTTAATTTAGTCGCTTAAGATTCTAGGACAAAGTGTTTCATTACTGAAAATTTAAAGCCTTTATTTTTATTCCAACCACACCGCCTGTTTAAAACGCGTAAGTTCGTGTGTGCGCGTGTTTGTGTAAAAATAAACTCCTGACTTAGACTATAACACCCTCAATGCTCAATCCTTTTCATTCACTCGCCTTGTTTTTCGGTCTTTCTACAATTAGTTTGTTCACATAAGATTCGTCAAATTAATTTTCTTCCCAAATCAACCGTATTAATAAAACGATATATTCTAATATGTCGCCACTTTGACTAGTTGATCAGGTATCGGATCAATATTTGTCTTCGATTTATGTGCCATGTATATCGCCATTTGAATGATATGCATGCATCTTCATTACGTCTATTTGTGTGTATATGTACGTGCGCGGACACACACACACACACACACACACACACACACATATATATATATATATATATATATATAATCTATATTTGGACAGCAACTTTTTTCAAACATGCTTCGTCGAATATATATATATATATACATTATTTTTATTATAGGACATGATAATAAAAAACATGTTGTAATCGCTACACAAAAGCTTTCATGTTTCAATACTTTGATTGTCCTTCTTCAGGCGATGGTAAGATACTTCATTATAATCTCTTATAATAAAAATAATAATATATTGCTCTACTTTTTGTACTGAACGCTTTTTAAAAGTAAATACTATGAACAGTGGAATTTCACGCCATCTGTTCATTCTCTCATTTGTATATATATATAAATATATATATATATATATATATATATATATATATATATGTGTGTGTGTGTGTGTGTGTGTGTGTGTGTGTGTGTGTGTGTGTGTGTTAAAAAAAAAGAAGAGAGGTCCTGCAAACGTTTTTGGTTGTAATGTGGATTTATTTAGAAAAAATATTATGCTTTGTTTTAAAACAAAGCATAAAATATATATATATATATATATATATAATCTATCTATCCAGGTCGGTGAAAGAGTCTCGTACTCTGAAGTTATGGTACGGGGGTCCCCATTCGATTATATCCCAATTTTCATAAGGTAGTATTCATATAAAATACAAATTTTATTGTAACCTAATAATGGGTCATATGCAATATAGGTGAATAATTCAACTAGAAAAATTGAAAATTGGAGACATGTCAATAGGTCATTCCATCTTGAGGACATTTTTCACATCAACATGAGATTTTTCTTTTTAAAAACTAGAATAGTTTTAACACATTTCAGATTATGAATAAAAGAAAATAGTAAACCTTATATAACGTTTTTTCGAGACTAAGACTGAACAAAACAAATTCACAGATTTCGATGAAAAAAAAAAAAAAAAAAATTCTCCAGAATGACGTGAAAATCTGCGAAAAAAAATCTTATCCTTCAAAAGTCGGTTGAGCTTAGTTTCATTTGTAACATATATAAAGTAGATAGAAAAAGGAAAATGTTGTTCAGATAGCGAAGTTCACAAAGCAATGATCAGACATGGCCCTTCCGGTCGGCGTGTCTGGGGGTAGTATACACAAGCCCTGTATCTATCTATCTGTTAGACAGGCCTATACTTAATCAGGAAATATATGAATATTTTACTTTCAATCCATTCTGAAAAAATTTGATAAGGATTTACCATAAATTTAATGCAGAAAAAAGTCATACAATTTTTATTTTTCATCCCGACCGAGGGTCGTCTGCTTAGCGGATAAAGTATTAACGATTTAATATTGAGGCACACACACATAAACACACCCACACATATTTCTTTGGTTCTGATCTGAGGAAGCCTATCTGAAGATGTCGAAACAAGTAATCGAATCAATAAAACTGTTTCCTACTTTGTCTAATTTATCAAAATTTGTCTGGATTCTATATCCTATTAATATCTATCTATCTATCTATCTATCTATCTATCTATCTATCTATCTATCTATCTATCTATCTATCTATCTATTTCATTCTATACCTCACTGGTTATCGATCAAATAATAATAATAATAATAATTACTATATACAGAAATAACCTACCTAAGAAAGAACAAATTAGAAGTATGATGAAATTCTTTTATATAAGGTATGTTAAACTGCATATGTTATCTGTTAATAAATACAATTGATTTATGTTGCCCCTGAATAGCGAAATAATTTCAAAGGAAACTTGAATACCAGATAATTCATTGCTCTCTCTCTCTCTTTTTTCTATATATATATATATATATATATATATATATATATATATAAAGGCCATTGAATGACAATTTGGAAAAATCCCCTGTAACGCGTTTCATCCTCTAGGACTAGAGGACGAAATATATATATATATATATATATATATATATATATATATATATATATATATATATATATATATATAAGCACATCCAAAGAAAAACGAAACTTTTTTACAAATGAGAAATTTTCTTGAAGCTTTTATTTTAGTTTTAATTTCAACATGATAGAGTAAATTTAATATTTCATATAAGCAAAAAAAAAATTATTTGGCTTTCCTATTAATAATAAAGATTTTTTACGATAAGATTTTTGTTTTATTAAGTTTGGGACATTTTTTCATCATGGTATGCTCATTTTAACGTATATATATATATATATATATATATATATATATATATATAATATTAATATATTTTCTGTTTATACGTTTTGATGGATACACTTATTTGAGTAAATGCTCTGTTTTTTTTTAATTAAACAATACATAGCAGCCCGAATGTTCGAGAAATATGCATCCTCCCGCAGGAATCGAACCCCTATCCTAAACGGAACCACCATTCAGCTATAGAGTACTTCCGGTTAGCAAAGCTCGGATTACTGCTTTTAAACACAGAATTTCTCCGATTGTAAAAACGGAAGTTCTTTGTGACTGAACGGTCATAGCACGTCAGGCTTTATGACAGTTCGATTCCTGTCAGAGGAGGCGTATTTTGTACGTTTTCTAAATTCACACCGGCAAATGTAATTAATATTGTTTAAAAAAAAAAATAGGCTATTTACTCAAGTGTATCAGTAAAAAAGCGTATAAACAGAAAATATATTAAAATATTTATCGGATTTAATCTATTTGATATATTGGTATATATGTATTTGTGTGTGTGGTTGGAGTGTAATGTTTACAAGGTTGTTTTCACAGATCATTCCTACTAAGTTGTGAGTTTAATCCTCACTGGGATGTCGTGCATTTGTGGCCTTGAGCCAAAATAATTGCATGCATACATACATAGAGAGAGAGAGAGAGAGAGAGAGAGAGAGAGGTGCGGGCGGGCGGGTGTGGCTGGTGCCTGGTCCCTGTTAGTTTTATACCTGTTTGTTTCACTGACAAATGTCCCCCCCCCATTATAAAGGACTTATGTTAAAAAGCATCTCTACGTTTCCCTATTGCAACCTCTCATGACAATCTTTGTTCAGTTTTCCCTTTCAGCGTTGTTCCATGCACAAAACTATGTAATGCCAAAATCGTCAACTGTTAGGGTGTACATTTTTTTTTCTTTTTTTGTTTTTCTTTTCGTTTTTTTGTGTGTTGTTTTGTCCGCGTGTCAGTGTGCGCAATCAGGCGTGGGTTATCTTGGAAGGCACGTAATTTCCATTCGCTGTAATTTTTCCCGGTATGTGTGAGGGGTGCCAGAGGATAGAGAGAGTAACACGGGGGATTGGTGTGTGTGGGCAGGAGGTGTATGTAGCTACAGCATTAAAGCACGTGATTCTCGCGCAGTAGATACCGAGCCTAGCCTTTTATACGAACACACGAACACGCAACAACGGCTACAACGGAATGCATGCGTGTACATGTATATGTATGTATGTACATGTACATATATATATATATATATATATATATATATATATATATATATATATATATATATCTGTATGTCTGTACATGTACATGTATATATATATATATGTATGTATGTATGTACATGCGTATGCAACAAAAAATGCAGAAACATCAGGTGCTCCTGAGCAAAATATGGCTTCGTAAACAACTACCACATTATTGTCATTTAGTTAAAAATATATTATACACATGATATTTACTATATATATATATATATATATATATATATATATATATATATATATATATATATATATATATAATCAGATGTTTGTTCGAGATGAAAAGAAGGTAAAATAATGCATATGCACACACACACAGACACACACACACATATATATATATATATGCAAATATAAAAGGAGACACTGAGGTCAACGCCAAGTGTCGACAGTCCGTGTCATGCTTGAAAGCAATTTTCAGGCCATTTTTATATTTATAAACGTTCTATCCCTGATACAGAAACTTTTACCCATAAATATAGCATACCTTAAAACTATATATTTTATCATATATTTAATGAAGGGAAGTACGTCTGTGACCTTGTACGTTTCAGCACCTGATCTTTATATATAATATATATATAAACAGTGAAAAGATAAAACAATAAACACAGGCGCGGAGATTATTTTTTTATTTTATTTATTTACTTTATTTTTTAATTAATTCTTTAACTGATTTTGATCTTCAAAATTTGATTCAGTCGACATTTATATTATGTAATTACAAAAGGGTTCATAAATTTGAGCTTGATGTGTGGTGAAATGCGAAACGCATCTACACAAATAGTCACGCAACCTTTAGAAACGCGCTTAGTTTTGCATTGGTCTGTCACGAGAACAACTGAAAGAAATTGACTGATAGGATGATTGTGTTGTGTTCATTTTTCAAATGTGATCTGGTTGAGATTACTCATTTTGAAAATCTGCATCTGAGATCCTGGCCGAACTCATAGGGAAATACATCATTTACTTAGCTCTTTGTATATATCCGTGCGTGCGCAAGCGCACACGGACATGT